GGAGGTAGGTAGGATGGGTGAAATAGATAAAAGGGATTAAGATTACACTTATCTTGATGAGCACTGAGAAATGTATACAGTTGTTGAATCATTATAGTGTACACCTGAAACTAATAACACTGTATGTTAATTATACTTTAATTTAAAAAAAAACCTTAATGGTACAACTCCTGTGCCATGAAAGAATCTTTTCCCAGTATTTTTTAAAGATTTTATTTATTTATTAGAGAGAGAGCCAGGAGAGGAAGAGGGAAAGAATCCTAAGCAGACTCCTCGCTGAGCGTGGAGCCAACTTGGGGCTCGATCTCATGACCCTGAGATCATGACCTGAGCTGAAACCCAGAGTCTGACGCTAAACCAAATGAGCCACCCAGGTGCCCCTCCCAGTATTTTTAAATACATAAAAACATACTGTTGCTTCTATTATACTTTGAAATAACTGATTAGTTAGTATCAAAATTTTTAGGTTATCCATTACTATTTTGTATTTCTAGTAAAAAAAACAAAACTATTTTCAAGCATGATTAATGGGGGGTTGAGTATTTTAAAAGTTAACAATTTGACTGCTTCCCAGTGCATTTTCTAAATGAGAAACAGAGAACTAAAAAAATACAATATAATACAACAGCATAGCCATATACAGGTAAGGCTTCACTGAGTGTATCATTTCAACTGAGAAAATTAAGTAAGGCAGGTAATCAACTGATGCCCTAAACAAGTGAATAAAGAGCATCTTTTAACCATACATACAACAATAAGCTGTGTTACTTAAAGAAGGTTCTTTTCATTTTGGCCTTAGCAATAAAGCCATGTTTCTAGGTAAATTTGACAATAACAGAGTGTTAACTAACTCATCAGCAATCAAGTATACCTGTAGTCTGACAGACTAATCTTGTCAGGATTGCTTGATGGTTCACAAGAGAAAGTAAAGCGAACAAGAAATGCAACACAGGGATGCCTGGGTGGCTCAGTTGGTTAAGCATCTGCCTTCGGCTCAGGTCATGATCCCAGGGTCCTGGGATCGAGTCCCACATGGACTTCTTGCTCAGCAGGGAGCCTGCTTCTCCCTCTGCCTGCCGCTCCCCCTGCTTGTGCTCTCTCTCTCTGACAAATAAATAAAATCTTTAAAAAAAAATGCAACACATTCTATTTATTATGTGGCAACTACTGCGAAATAAGCTACTAGAAAGAAGCAAAATGATTAAACTGCCAAAAATATTTGCATACTTTGGTAAATTTAATTTTTCAGACAGAATTTTAGTACCACTGGAAGGTAGATTAGTGATTTTCAAAGTGTTTTCTGAAATCATACATGATAAATGTTTTGCGTTTTCAACGTCAATAACTATCTTTAAAAAGTTATTTAATAAAATTTGGGTTATTTCTTAAGCCACTTTGAATAATGTACATTTACCAAGATTTTAGAAAAAGTTATATTCAAACTGGGTATTCATGTGATGACCAAAAAAACTAAAAGTCCTTGACACATTTTTATACAAAGTAAAATTTAAATAAAGTGCTTAAACACAACCTAGAAGGAAAAGAAAAATAGGTCTCAGAGGAAGGCATATGTACCTTGACAAGAAAATGGAAAAAAAAATGTAATTGATCATATTTCCCTTTTCAAATTCAGGTGTGTGTGTTTTTTTTTTTTTTTTTTTAAGATTTTATTTATTTTTTGACAGAGAGAGACACAGCAAGAGAGGGAACACAAGCAGGGGGAGTGGGAGAGGGAGAAGCAGTCTTCCCCCGGAGCAGGAAGCCCGATGCGGGGCTTGATCCCAGGACTCTGGGATCATAACCTGAGCCGAAGGCAGACGCTTAACGACTGAGCCACCCAGGCGCCCCTCAAATTCAAGTTTAGATCCAAATATCTTTTGGCTTTCATATCTGCTTCCTCATTCTATCCCCCACCTTGACCTATCTGCACAACTTTCTGAGTCTTAATTTGCATTTGTCTGCTGTATTTTGTGTATCCTCATAAAGCATTTCAGTTGAGATACATATAGGTGTAAATAGTGTGTATTTCATAAATCTGCTTTCATCAGCTTGGTACTATAAAAATAATAAACCCCTAAAGTCAATTCACACATGATATATAGAGGAGCAATATCATGTAGGGATTAAGAACAAGGGCTCTGGAAGATTCCAATCAGTTCTGCCATTTACCATATGATGTTAACTAAACTTAATCTTGGGGACTCTTTTCTCTAATTCCTCCTTGTTCATCGGGTAAACAAGATAAATTAATTAAAGAATTCAAAACACTCAACACAGAGTTCAGCAGTTTGCTATGCCAGGCAATAAATGGTGGCTACTATATTAACATGTTTAACATGGTGCTGATCAAAATTATATGTACTCATCTGCTATTTGTAAGACTATGTGCAGTGTTCAGGTGACAGGGTGGGTGGGATAGGCAGCTGGCAAGTCCTGAAAAGTGAATGATATTTAAGCCTATGCACAGAGAAGCCGAACCACACAGGTCCCACAGTGAAGAAGTAACCTCACGAACATAGTCTGAGTAGAGGGTACAAGGTGCAGAGGCTTGGAAATAACCTATAGCAGAGAGAAATTAGTCTTGTTCCGTTCCGTCCCCTCCTGGAATTCTAAAAACGAAGAGAAGATAGTGCTAATATATAATTATACCCCAACAGTGCTAAGCAATCTTGTGATGAGGGGCCAAAATAAATTGGTAGATAACGCCTGTTCTCCCCACAGGCAGGGGAGGCAGCATAGGATAGGAACAAACAAGGGAGCAAGTAAGAGCTGACACTTGATGTGAGGGTCTCAGATGTTAACACCTCTCCTGGGAGCAGTGGCAACAAATAGACAATAAACAAACACAAATGTTGTCCTTAAACTCACAGCTGTTATTGCCTCTAACCTGTATACTGAGAGAAAGGGCTAGGGGGAAACATGTTACTGGTCTCCCATCTTTCCATAAAGTAAACAGATTCAGTCAGCACAATTCACCCACGATGCATGTAGAGATAAAGAACTACAAGTACTTTAGAGAAATAAAACAAAGTAAAGGGGGATGGAACCCTCTATCTTTAGTCTAGAGTGTACTGATCACAAATGAAACCAGTTAACATCCTTAAATAAAAGTATATTCCAGACCTTTCCCCTTAAGATGGCAAAGCTAAATGAATGAATTTTTGGAGCTGTAGTTGGATTTCTTCATTAACTAAAGGACAAGTTAAAATCAATTCATCTAGTAATTTTGAAATATGACTGTGAGGAGAAAAAAATGAAATATAAAACAGCCTTTTTGCTTTTTTATGTTCTTCATAATTTCCAGTATATTTTACCTCTGAAAAGAGGTAGACAACAGAAGAATTAAAATTCAAACCCATGCAGTGTGTGAGCAACTTTTATGCAAGGTTTGTGAAGATAAGTCTCTTTTAGACCAAAAAGAACATACCTATAAATTTCATTTATCTATTATATTAATCTTCTTGGATAGCCCAAAATTAGGTTAAATTATTATTAACAAAATAGTAAATGTAAAATCTTCCACAATTACTTGTGCATGTATGCCTTTATGGTTCTTAACTATAAAACCTAATTTTTTTAAAGGCTAAATATGTTAACACAGGAAAATATCTAGACTACTAAACCATCTTGCTACCTAGTGACAGCAACAGTGATTGTTTCCTTCACAAACTCACTCCGCACTGTTATATTTCCACTGCTTGTCTTTTCAAATTTCTACTGTTTCAAATTTTTACTGAAGTGCCCCTTCAAGAGTTGAAAGGGTGTCAAAGCAGTTTTATAACTTTGTAGTTATAATATATATATACAGTAGTTAATAATAATGCCACTAGTAACAAAGTGTATATCAATTTCCTCAGGGCTCAAAACACATGGAGTTTCAACATCTTTGCTACTGCATGTAAACGTGTTTCAATTTATAGATACAGTATTACCAATATAGGCACTTATCCACTGATTTACTTGTTTTCTTTAGTCAACCGCTTATCTGACATAACCATTTAACAAAGAGAACCTGAATATTAATCTCATATTAGCACAATTCATTCATTACACAAATATTTACCAAGCACTTTTATTCAGCATTTAGAATGTGCGGTATTAAAGTTGAACAGTCTTCCAGAGAAAAATGATGCCTGCCCTCTAGGAGTTTACAGTCTATAGAGAAAACTGTATGTCAGCAGAGAGGCACTCTGAATACATGCTTCAGGATCAGGAGCTACAAAAACTCGACCATAGTCCCAGCTCTCCCACTACCTAGCTGGGTGACCTTGGGGAGGTCCCTTCACCAACCCCTCTAAGGCTTAGTCGCTTGATCCATAAAGTGTAAACTTGAACCAGAACCTAGCAGTCACATCTTGCCCAGCTCTAAATAGTCTGTGAGAGCAATTCGAGGTTAACGACAACAGCGTCCCAGTCCACTGTGTGCTCTCAGCAACTAGCAAAGTAGTACGCTGGATGAATGAGAGGCAGAGAAAGTACAACTTCTAAGATTCCCCTAAGTCTCTTCTCGCTCTTCGGCCATCTCTGCAGGGCACCTTTAGTAGGGCCGGGGTATCTGCACTGATGGAGCAGAATCTACGCAAACCCCTCCCTTCCTGCACCCAGACACAGCTGAAGGCCCGCAGCTCCTCCAATCCCTCTCCGGCCAGATAGGACTCAGAGGTCAGCAGTGTCCGTACGCGGCTGACCTGCCTCCTCCGCGACCCCAGACTGAGCGGCCGCTCACTGCACCTGCTGCGGAGTCGCCTGCGGCCAGCCGCCTCCCCTCCGCTAGTGTCACGTGACCGCCGCCCCGCCTCCCCCCCCGCGGGGACCCGATTTTGGCGCGCGGCAGTGACGTCAGCGTCCTGTCACCCGCCCCCGCCGCGGCCGGAGCGACCTCACGTTTTAAACTCGGCCCCGCCCCACCCGCCGCGTCCGCGGGCGCTGCCGGCTCCCGGGCAGCGCCGTTAACGGGCCCTGGCTGCCCCGCGCCCCTCCGGCCCGCCCGCGCCGCTCACCTTGAGGTGGCCGCTGTCCGGGCTGCTCGCTTCCTCCTCGTCCTCACCTCCCGAGGCGGCGGCGGAGGCGGCGGGCGGGGGCGCGCCCCGGTCTCGCAACCCCGGGTGCTCGGCGGCGGCGGCGGCGGGCAAGGCGGCCGAGGCGGCGCCCCCCGCGGCCCCGGGGCTGAGCGTCACGTTGTGCGCGTTCTCGCCCCAGCGCCACGGATACACCATGAAGTCGCTGAAGCCGGGGCTGGTGGGGATGAGCGGCGGCGGCGGCTCCGGCTCCCCACCGCCGCCGCACGTGGGCTTGATCGGGGTCGTCCTGATGACCGACACCAGCACCCGCTTTGGGGAGTCGTGGCAGAAGATGACGGGCGGCGGCTGCGGCGGGTTGTCCGCCATCGGCGCCTCCATACCCCGGATCATCGCCCGGCCCCGATCCGCAGCTCCAGCAGCCGCACTCCCTGAGCCCCGGTTTGGCCCTTCGCTCCGCTCGCCCGCGCTGCTCCCGAGTCGCCGGCGCTCAGTCCCGCCGGCTCATGGCTGGCGGACGTTTCCCGGAATCTTCTTGCGCTGCGGCCAGCGAAGGAACGGAGCGGCTCGGCCGGCACTCCGCGGCCAGCGCCAGACCCCCAGCCCTGGGTCAGGCCCGCCCTCCCCTCTTTGTACTCCCCAACGCAGGCTGCAGCGGCGGGAAGCTGCGGCCGGCCTGCCTTTCGGTGACAGGAAAGCAGGACGTGCTGCGCCGAGCCCCCGAAAATAACAACCTGCCGCCTGGGTCACTGCTCCGGCTTTTCCCGCGTTACATTTCGCGCCTGGGCGGAACCAATCACCGCGAGGCCCCTGCCCGCTGGCCGCAGCGGCGAGTGACAGGTCGCGCGAGCCAATGGTCGGGCCTGGACTTCTTTCTAGCCGAGTGAGGCGGAGCCGAGCCTGCGCGCGGGTCCTTTCTGCCACGCCATTGGTCGCCGTTCTTTTTTTTTTTTTTTCTGCCTCGAGGGCCAACTGCGTTCGAAACTCCGGGGGAGCGCGCGACAACGGCACTCGCCCAGACACACCCGCCAGGAGCCCCGCCCCCGCCGTCCTTCTGCGCGGGTTGTCAGTGTCGGGGGCGCGGGCAGGGGCGGGAGGCGAGAGAGTTACTGATTGGAGGGGCGTCGGCGAGGGGGCGAGGCCGGGGGCTGTCGTTGGCCGGCGGGGGCGCGCGCCTGCCAGCGCCGCCCGTCAGCCCCGCCCGCCTGTGGCTGTTGGGCCGCGGTTCCCGCGCGCCGGGAGTTTAAAGGGCTTGGGCCCCCGCCGCCCGCCCCGCCCCCTGTTCCCCCCACCCGTTATGCGGGACCCAGGCCTTCCTACTGCTCGTCTCTAGTAGACGCCCAAAGGTGCCTAGTTTCCTAGCCGGCTCCGTCTGCCCAGCCGTTGACTTTGCTGACGTCCCCCAACGTCCGCCCCCACCCCAGGTTCAGGTGGGCATCAGCCCTGGCCTTCACCCTCCCGGGCTTCGGTGTCCCCTCTATAAATGGCGTAATTAAAGAAGTGGTCTCCGAACTCCCCATGTGCTGCTCACAGTGCGGAGGGGACATGAACACAGACATGTGTTTGCTCTCACACCCGGGACCGACACCCCGAGGACCCCTGCCCCCTTCTGGGGCTGTTCTCACGCCATCCCGGAGCCTGCTTTCATTCCCGCGTCTGGACGGGCGTGGAGCTCTAGGCGCCTCGGAGTTTTCTGGTCATTCCAGATTCCTCTGCTCGTTCTCGCTCAGGGATCCCGCCCCGCACCAGAGGGATGCTGGAAGATTGGGTTAGCCTGACACCCAATGAGCGCCAGTGGGGCTCAGAAACACCACGCAGCAAAGGATGGGGCAAAATGGAATGTCCAGCCTCACATTTCACTAGAATGTGAAAGAAGTGACTGTGTCTGTTTTGTTCTTTGATATATTGCCAGGGCCCAGCCTGACTCATGGTAAGCCTTCAATAAATATTTGTTGAATGAATGAACGAATATCCAGTAGTTAGGGTTACAATTGGTAATTAAATTGGAACATGTCTCTATAATAGATGGCTGAGTAGTGCGTGTAAGAGAGACACACACAAATACACAGCTATGGTTAAATTAATTTAGCCACAACTGTTAAAAAACAAATTTAACCTATATGAACAACTTCTAAGATACATTTCAAGTGATAAAAAAGAAAACATGGAACTGTATAATTTCATTCCTGAAAAAAAAAAGTGGGGAAAGAATATAAATTTCTTTTAGATATACAAAATATCTCTAACAAGATACACAAGAAACTGATATATCAGTTGACTCCAAGAAGGGATATGTGACTAAGAAAAAGATTTCAAAAGATACATGTACCTCTTTGTATCTTTTGCACTTTGAACCAAGTGAAAGTATCTTTTCCATAAATAAAATTGCATATAGCTACCATTTCCTGGAGGCCTAGTATAATAATAGCATGTCTGCTGATAAACACATACAATAATATGGATGGGTGATTTACTTACATTCTTCTACTCTCAATTCTGTGATGTAGATATTACTATTCCCATTTTACAGATGAGGAAATTTGTCCAAGGTCACATAACTCAATAACTGAAATATAGAGGCCAGGTTTTCTGGCCTCTGAAAACTGTGGATTATACCTCTTTGAGTCTGCTGAACAAAAGGAAGAAGGCACTGAAAAAATGGGACCCCCATATTTCTGAGAACTGTTTCTCATATTTAAAACCTTCAAATTTTAGGGGTTAAATCCAATTTGATATTTTAATAGTTGATGTGGAAACCTGAAAGTTCATTTCTCATTCACTTAATAAATTATATTCTTACAATTTAATGCCAAATGACTGCACCATGTACTTCTGGAAGGGAAATATAACACATCCATTTTATACTTGAAAAATAGTAAAAAGAAAAAGTGATATATCCATCATAGACACTCAAATTATGGGTTGAGTAAGATCCTACAGATTGAGCACCAACCAATAGTTACTGTTTAACATGCTCCAGCGAGCAAGATAAATTATTCAGAACCAGGACACTGACTTTCTGTTTCTAAAAACTACTCTTCATCAACAGTAACCTGGCAACTCCACTTGCTTTCTGCCACAAGAGAATGAAAGACATGCCAGGAATGTGTGAAGTGAAGACAGGGTGATTCCAGGAACAGAGCTGAGGTCATGCAAGATCTGCTTGTTTGGCTCCCCCTTTTCGTGCACCTAGGAAGCTGAAGTGTGTGGATCATATTCTTGATGTCTTTGTTCTGCCCCAGACATAGTCAACATCCCACAGTGTATATTAACTCTGAAGAAACTAAAACTCATCGCAGGATATTTAATATATTATTAAATTGTTTTTTAAAAATGTAGTCCTCTTCTGATAGAGCTCTTGTTTTTAAAAATTCATCTGAGTAAATTTTAAAGATCTTACGGGCTTTATTCAGTGTTTCATGAATTGGGCAGCATCCCATCTAGCAGATAGGAATTCCGAAGAGCTGTACAAAATGAGGCACTTTTATAGGTAGAAGGGGAAGTTATTAGCCAACAGTGGATTGTTTGCAATAAGGTCACTTCCTTGGGGGAACTGCAGGTGTCTATCATCTATCAGGAGGATTATCTCACTGGAGCTGACCAGGTAATTCTGGAGAGGCTGAAACTGTAATTAAGTTAGATATTAAGTCTCAGATTGGTAACATGGGGCTTGGCAACCATTTGGGGCCTGTAGTCTCTTTTCTTAATAATGCCCCCCTTTAATCAGGCTTTTAGCCTAATGGAGAGACGTGATCAAAATTTAAGGCATTAGTGCCACTCCCAGCTACCACTCTGAGGTTCTTGCCATTTTTGCCAATCCTCTGTGGTAGTCATAGGTCATGTCTTCTTGCTGAATCACTGTGGTATTCTCGCATGGCAACTGCAGGTTCCCATTGGTTAAGTTGGTCATTTATTTCATTTTCTGAAGATCCAGTCTCAGGGAGATTATTTGCTTGGTGATTTGCAACTTTGAACATGCATTTAAAGCTTTTGACAGAATATAACACACAAGAAGACTATTCTGATTATTATGAACAGGATAATTCCCAATATCTGGATTGCACTTCAAAGCCCTGGTCTCCAAGGCCCAAATCAATCAAAATCAAATAAGTCAAAGAGGGGTGCCTGGGTGGCTCAGTCGGTTAAGCATCTGCCTTCAGCTCAGGTCATGATTTCAGAGCCCTGGGATCGAGCCCAGAGTCAGAGTCGGGCTCCCTGCTCAGTGGGAATTCTGCCCCTCCTCCCCTCTACTTGTAATCACTCTCTCACTCTCACACTCTCTCTCAAATAAATCTTTTTTAAAAAAAGTTCTAGGGGCACCAGGGTGGCTCCGTCCTTAAGCGTCTGCCTTCAGCTCAGGTCATGATCCCAGGGTCCTGGGATCGAGCCCCACATTGGGCTCCCTGCTCTGCGGGAAGCCTGCTTCTTCCTCTCCCACTCCCCCTGCTTGTGTTCCCTCTCTTGCTGTGTCTCTCTCTGTCAAATAAATAAATAAAATATATTTTTTAAAAAACAATGGTTTAAAAAAGTAATAAAAAATTTTTAAAATTTAAAAAAGATTATAAATTCATGGCCAAAATGGGTGCTGATGGTGAGATCTTTTCACAATTAAGGGCACATCTGATTTAGATAATCATAAGAATATGGGGGTGCAAATGTACTATGATTTACAAAGATATTTGTGTCTAACTGGGCGAGTACAGGGGCACCTAGGTGGCTCTAGTCAGTTAAGCATCCGACTCTTGATTTCAGTACAGGTCATGATCTCAGGATTGTGAGATCAAGCCCCAAGTTAGGCTCCATGCTGGGCACGGAGCTGCTTAAGATTCTCTTTCTCCCTCTCCCTCTCCCTCTGCCCCTCCCCATCCTCTCTCTTTCTCTATCTCTCTAAAAAAATAAAAATAATTGGGCAAATACAGTTATAATCAGAGAAAGGTAAAAACAAGGTACTAGATATTCCAGCCATAAAAGTCAGACTCTGTGATTGTAGTTTATGGTAAGATTGGGAATAGATGAAAAATTGGTCATATGAAGAACCAGGGGTTCTTTAGCATCATGGACTGATTGGAGTTTTTGATGACAAATTCTAGTCAGAAATGTTGCTCCCATTGAGCAATGATACAAATGATAGTGATCTTTCCAGGCCAATGCCAGAGTAAAGGGAAAAAAAGAGAATAAGAAAAGGTTTCATTTTAGGTAAAGTATGAAATCTTCATCCAGGGTCTCAGATGGAAGCAGTCTACCTCAGCATCAGCTATTTCTCTTCTTAGTCAATTTGATTTGGAGGGTCTCCAGTGTTTGCACAGGACCAGAAGTCAGGTGGAGCCTTCTTCAGTTGTGAAATACGCACTCAAGGTTTAATACGTTGTAATTTGGCAGCAGTGTCCATGATCAAGAGTTTTTGGTAGGGTCCTTTGCATGAGGCTCACTCTTGCAACAGCATCACAGTCATTATAACTGTCTGTAATGACAAGACGTAAAAATGACCATGAAAAAGGGTGTGATGAGAGTTTATTATAGTGGAACTGACAGGAAATTTGGTTATATCTTAATATGTGGTATATATGTAACTGACAACATTATATCAGGACATACCAGATTTCTAGGAATTTTGTACAGTTTCCAAAACACTATAACATATAAGTACACAAATACAACATAAAGAAGGCTTATTATTACTTCTTCTATGACAATGCTTTTTAACATATCAAATAAGCCTAATTGGCCTAACATCTGTCTTTTCCTAAGGAGAGAGAATGAATTTTTTGAGATATCCCAGTGACTCTCAGGAAAATCCCAAAGTTTCATTCAAGGTCAAAAAAACTTCATTGAGAATTTGAATTTGGGGAAGTTTGTGAAAAATATCAAAAAGGTTTTAAACCCTTGATTAGATACGATCGTAGGTCACTGTGGAATAATACTTAGTTAACCATTTAACCGAAGTGACAATGGAAGATATTAAAGAAAGATTGAGCTTGCAAATCAATCAATGTGATACAATTAATAAAAAAAAGAACAATAACCATATGATCCTCTCAATAGATGCAGAAAAGGGATTTGACAACCTACAGCATCCCTTCTGGATTAAAACTCTTCACAGTGTAGGGATAGAGGGTACATACCTCAATATCATAAAAGCCATCTATGAAAAACCCACAACAAATATCATTCTCAATGGGGAAAAACTGAGAGCTTTCCCCCTAAGGTCAGGAGTATGGCAGGGATGTCCACTATCACCACTGC